GCGCCGTCGTCATTACCGCCGCCACTACCTTTCGGAACCCCGCCCAACTCCCCGCAACCTCACCCCAGCAGAGCGAGCTCCTCACCGCAGCCGCCCCGACCGCTTCAACCATCACCATCTACACCCCCGTCATCTCCAGTGCAATCCGGAGATCCATCACCTCCACCACCAACTTCATTATTATCGCCACCGTGGCAACCGCCTGAGGGCGGCGCCAGCTTGAAACCCCCACCAAGTAAATCTCTAGCTCTATTTCAGTTCCTGATACAGTCGTCATCCCCGGAGCAGCAGCAGCAACAACTTCAGGTAAAGACATGCATGTTCGAGGAAGCACTGCTGCTGTCCTGTCGTGAGATCCATTCTGCATTCATATATGTTATATAGCAGGTTAGGCACTACTGGTAAGGCATGGACCATTGTCCCCGGGAGATTCCGGGATCGAGACCTTCCGTTGGAGGAGGGAAAAGTGTCCCTATGTGATGTACGGTGGTGACTAGGAGTTCACTGTTCATGTGAGCTGATTGAGCTCGGAATCGAGCTGCCGTCGATTCGGCAGAATTCGTCAGATGCCGGTGGTGGGTGCGGAACCTGAGTGAACCACTGAGGTGTTGACTTGGGTGATTAGTTGAGGGTGCCACGAAATACTGGGGAAGGCAGGGTAGCGGCCACGGGTGAAAGCATGCCCCCCATTATAGTAATCGTGTATGTGTATGTGTATGTGTATGTGTATGTGTATGTGGGCCGTGCGTCCACGCAAGCTATATTATCTCCTTGTGTCGGCTCTTTATATATCCTCCCCTTCCTTTTCGGACTGCTGCTGCTGCTATTGCTATTGCTACTGCTGCTGCTGCACACATGTATGTATGTACGTATATGTTGCTCCACGGACAAAATGGCGCCGCAGCCCCTTCACCGCCGTCCAGCAGCGACCGTGGCAGCAGCAGTGATGGCGGTTCTTCATGGCCCCTTACTATTGGGCTTTCCGCGGGCCTCGGCGCCCTAGTATTGGTCGCCTTATTAGCTCTCGGTCTCTACCTGGCAGGCCGGAGCAAGCGTGGGCGGCAGCAGGAGACCGCAGTCTTCCCTTTCTACACAAGAAGTAATTATACAGTCCAGTAGTCGGAACATACATGTGCATACGGCAACTCCTTGGGCAAGCTAGGCACTAAGTGGGATTAGGCGCCGCCGCTGCGACCCATTACTGGCTAGGTAGCTACGTAGCCACGAGTGGCGTACACACGTAGCTACGTAGCTGATTATTACTTGATGCTTGATGATAATCGTGAAAAGCGGAGTTGATCATGACTGCGTTTGCTTTGTAGCAAGACTGGTCGGTTGCAGAAGCGCATTGCTGGCAAGCAAGAATTAATGTATGCATGCGTGATGGCGTGCACGGTGTGTGTGTGTGTGTGTGTGTGTGTGTGTGTGTGTGTTACAGCAGCCTCCGGACTCGTGAAGAGTAGAGCCAACCCGCCCGCTGGCCGTGCACTGCTCCTGAGGCGACCCGGGCCGCAGCCAAGGCAGCCACCCAGGCCAGACAACGCACCCAGTGGAGGGATGCATTATTAGGCATTGAAGTGCGAAACAATACATGTCGTGCTAACCCTACCGACCAGTAGTAACATGTGTTCGCTTTCTGGATTAAGTGTCTAGAGACAGTTTTTGGGGGGCTTGCTGCTGCTGGTGCACTTGTTATTGTTCGCTCGTGTGTGCGTGCTGTTGGCTCGATGGCTCGGGGGATGCATCCCCGCTACATTGGGGGTCGGGGGTTTTCCGGCAGCTGGGGCCCAGCTGGCAGCTGCGTGATGAGTCTCGAAAACATGTACGGCTGTACTGTAACAGCCGTCTCTTACCTTAGCTGTTTTAGCGGAAGTAGAGGGTCTCGTCCACGATTGGCGACCCAGCGTTAGGCGTGAGAAGAGACAAGGGAAGTCGGGATTCGAAGACATACGTCGAGAACGGTGACAGCAAGGTCTTGAACCCTGAACACTAGTATAGTGATACGTTAAGTGTCTGGCCGAAGCACTTCACCTGGGTGGCTTAAATGCGGCCCACCTGCCGCCATCTCCATTCCTGGAGTCTTGGTGCCGTACGCTAGGTTGTGATAGCGTACCAGAAAGTGAGTTCGTACAGTTAACGAGTATGGTTCGTAAATACGGGACCGTACCGTTACTGTGATTATGCTTTAATAGCTTAAAGATATTCTAAGGTAAATGTAGCTTGCTACATCCCTCCCCCTCAGAAGCGAACCGTCCCGGGAGCGTCACCTTTTCTTGCGAGCAGGTGCTTTCCCAACCTCAAAACGCACCGCACGCCGATGCTTGTCGACGACAATGCACTGGCGGGATTGAGCAGCTTTAAGACACTGTTTTGCGTTTTCAATACGTTTGCGCATGACCTTGGGATAGCGGTCAGCGGCAGGCACTTTGGTTTTTAGGTGCAAGTCAACCGGCACACGTGGCTGCTTGATACCATTAAGGCTAAACGGGGTGGCACCCGTTGAGCTCTGCCTCGAGTTATTAATAGCAAACTCGATGAGTGGCAGGTGTTCGTCCCAATCATCCTGAGTGGGCGAAATATAGTGCCTCAGTGTCTCTTCTAGCAAGCGATTCATTCGCTCGGTTTGACCATCAGTCTGCGGATGGTAGGCTGTGCTCATATAGAGGTGGGTGCCTAGCAGGCGAAATGTTTCCTTCCAAAAGTTGCTTGTGAAGCGTGTGTCCCGGTCAGACACAATATTCTGTGGAAGGCCGTGCTGTTTGAAAACCGTAGCCACAAAGAGGCGGGCTAGATCTTCCGCACCGACGGATGTGGTTGTGGGAGCGAAGTGCGTCATCTTGCTCAGGCGGTCCACGAACACTACTATCGCGTCATGCCCATTGCGGGTTGTGGGTAGCTGTGTGACCAAATCCATTGACACACTATCCCAAACGTTATCTGGAATGGGAAG